TCTGTTGCTTCTGAGCTAGATAGCAGCTTGTTTACCTTCAAGGCTTTGAGACCCCAGATGCTATATCTTTTGACAGCCAGGCACCATCAACTTTCTTCACCACCTTTGCTTATTCAGTTGCTTTGTCTTCAGCAGTTGTCGGGAAAGTGAGCATCATAGAATGCCAATTTAATAAAAGAATGTATTCTTGAATTGAGTGAGTACTTGAGTGGAGGCCCAATGTTCTTCTGCTACCTTAATACTAAATCCATAAATATATACACATAGATCTATTTCCCCATCCTCATATAAATATATCTGCATATGTACATATCTTTATCTAGACCTCTATAAATGCCCTTTGCCTCCCAGCTGTTTCCTCTATTTCCTTTGACTTTCCTCCTGTCCCACTATCATGCTCAGTCCCCATCAAGGTTTCATCAATTCCTCTTGGATACATTACCCTTGATCATGCCCTACTAGGCCTCCCACACCCTCCTCACCACCGATTTGGATCACTTGTTGTTCCCTTGTCCCTCGGTCTGTTAACACCACTACCTTTCCCCCCACCTCCCCCTCTTCCATGTCCCCCCGGAACTGCCAGTCCCTTTATTTTCTCCTCCAGATTGTTCAACCTGCGGAGATAATAACATGCACAAAAACTAGACAGAGCAAAACCAAGGAACAATATACAACAAGAAGCAAAAGCTTGTAGTTAGTTCAAGGATCGTTTGTTGGCCTTTAAGAGTGTTTTCCAGTCTGTTGGGGCAGCACAACCTGGGCCCAAAGTCCACCTTCAGCATTCTGGGAACCTTGCTGTTCTGTTACAGTGTGGTGGGATCAGATCGGGTGCAATTCCCACACTGTGTCTCTGGTGTTGTCCCTTGTAGGGCTATGGGTCAGTGAGGGGCCGGCCATGTGGTCCTCTCTGGACAGGCTGCTCTAATTATTTTTTCTCCAATTTTCCATAACACATTTGATCTTCCTATGTTAAAATATTAAATAATTTTAAAAGGAAAAACTGTTATTTTGTGGATTATCCTGTGCATTAAAAATACAAGCTGCTACATTACTATGTAGGGTATATAGAAGACTGGTCATAAATTTAGAAAGAGTCATTTTGGCATTGTAAGCTAGGTGCTGATCTACTAAAAGCAAGGTCAAGGAGTTGAAAACTACCGATTGCTCTGTAGGAGAAAGATGAGGCTGTCGGTTTCTATGAAGATTCACAGTCTCAGAAATGCTACATGGGTTCACAATGAGTCAAAATCAATTCAATGGCAAAGTACTTGGGCGTTTTCTTCATAAACTCAAGCATCCCTCTGGCGTACTAGTTAAACTCTCAGTTACTGAAGTTAAGTGATTTGAACTCACCAACTTTCTCTGTGAGAGAAAGTCATGGCATCGGCATGCCATAAAGGATTGTTGTTAGGGGCCCTCTTGTCTGTTCTGACCCATCGCAACCCATGAGTGATCACAGCCAAGGACCCCCTGTGGAAGCCTCTGCTCTGTGCTGGAATCGATCGACAACAATGGGGTGGCTTTTGGTTTTCATGCATTCGTGAGGAATTTTGAAAAAATATGTGATAAATTTATTCTAGTAAAATTAATAATTCCTTCATATTCCATCCTAACACATTGTCCCTATTTGGAAGTGCATTAATTAGTGGAAAGTTTTGCAAGAACTACGGGATTAAACTAAATGCTGGTTCCTGTCATTTTAACTGTGCTGTTAAGCTACACACATCATTTCTTTAGCCTTCTCTTTTTATGTAGAAACAACTTTTAATTTGCTCAATGTTTGTCCATAAAGCATTATGATTTGAGGTTTGAAGAGGCTGACATTGAAGATGGTGTGGTGGAAAACAAATACTCTTAAGATTGAAAGCTTGGGTTGGGGTCTCACGTTTGTGTCCAAACTGGACAGCAGTAAATTAGTTTTATAATATTCTATTTTATAGGATGATCCTGAAGCTCCACTGAGATAAAATGTGAATATAACTTGTAAACTATGCTATAGAACATAAGACATTTTTATTATTCCATCCCAACATTTTAATGATGCAAATAACCTCAACTCAATTGTACATAAAGTTTCATACACTTTATAATGCTGTTATTATTTGTGATAGGATTTCTAAATCACGGTGTACTTCAGTTAAATTAAACAAGTTTATAAAAAATGAAAAGGTTAGTATTTTCCTCTGCTAACACCACTGATTTTACTATTTGTCTAACAATCAAGATTTTTGGATGGCAAACTGCTCGATATCAATAAAGACTTTCAGCCATATTATGGGGAAGGAGGACGAATTCTGGAGATCCGGACTCCAGAGGCAGTGACCAGCATTAAAAAGCGAGGAGAGAGTCTAGGTTACACGGAAGGAGCCTTGTTGGCTCTGGCCTTCATCATCATCCTGTGCTGTATCCCTGCCATCCTGGTGGTTTTGGTCAGCTACAGACAGTAAGTATTCATAGATGCTGAAAATGGATAGCTCCCCAAGAGGCATGACAGAAAATTAGCTCTGCTAACATGGCATGTAGCTATAAAGCTCTGATGATGCCAACATTCTGGGATGGCTGTATCTTAGCAAATCACCTTCCTCAGAAAGAAAACAATCCCATTTTTCATTCATTTTCCTTAGGCAGCTCAGTGCTCCTGTTCTCCTAATATGCCCTTACTTACTAGGAGTACTACCTTAATCCCCATGACTTTCCTGATGTTTCCCCTCACACCGGGAGGGAAGGTTGTAGGTGTCCTAGTTCCCAGAGTAGATCTGTATCAGCACTACGTCATTATGATGAGTTTTCATCAGACTGTTAAATTTACCTTCGCACAGTCACAAGGTGGGCAAAATCATTCTCAAATCATAACACAGCGTATGTAATTTTACGCAGACTCTTCCATCCTGGACCACTTTGCATGCCTGTATTGTCACATCTTTCAGCATGTTTGTGCAGACCCTTAACTTCCCTGGTTCCCACACTCCAATGCAAGCATTCAAAGATACCATGTGTATATTTAAAATCTACTTTTTATTGGATTGTAGGTATGGGAAATGCCTACAATTGGGGACTGGACATTAAAACTGTATCCCAATAGGAAATTTTGGGTGGAAAATTGGAGAAGAAGGTAAAGAAGACATAAGGCCCTGAGGGTGGCACAAAATGAAATAAATAACAGACAGGAGTCATCAATCATATAGATTGCTTGATATTACAAACAGTAAGAAATAATGGTAGTGTTTCTATTGATCATTTAAGATATCTACTGCAGGGAAAGTACTAAAATAGTCCTATGCATCCTCAAACTTTTATCTTTTTTCCCCCCAAACACTGAAAATCAATCTGTATTTTTTCTTTGTTGAGTAAAATAATGTAAAGTTGCAAATCAACATTTAGGTTGAGGTATTGAAGCTTAAACTTAATGGGGCATGGACAAATTGTTTTAAATAATGAAGCCCTCAAGTCAATATTTTCAAATTAAATCTATTCTCTATTACCATTTTTTCTTTTTCATATGTTTCCCAAACTTACACTCTTATGCCGTATTAGAAATAAAATCCATGCCAATACTTCTTATATATAGTACTTGGTATCATAATAAAAACTGGAGCATCCTGGGTATTATACTCAGTAATATAAAATTAATGTACTTAATATTTAACATTTTTTATCTTTGACAGAAGCATTCTTTCTTTTTTAGCTTAGTAATCAGCTTAGAACCCAATGAATTCATTTTAAACACTGATTTTTTTAAGCTTTAATGGAATCAAAATGATTTGTGTACTGGCTCCTGTTTCCAAGTAAAATTCTAATATTTGTAAACTAACTTCTGTGCGTTCAGATTCTGCTAGTAAATATGATAGGGAAAAAGATGGTTTTTCTTCTATATTAAGATGTTTCTTTGAAATTTCCTATGCACAGAAAACAGAGAAGTCAAATATGAAAAGAAATGTCATGAATTCATTACATAGGAGTAGCACCTTCAATTGTAGCTTCAGCTTCAAAGTAAGGACAAGAGTACAATCAGGACTTACCGCATGACCCCGTTCCTTTAATATTCTACAAGCAGAGTATCCAATTTTTCTATCATAGTTGAAATTCACATATTCTTTTTGTAGCCCAGTTTCTCTAACTCATTTGGCTCATTCCTTTGTTTTCACAGCTTGTATGGCTGTGACAGTAATAATAAAGTACTCACCACTCTTCACTTGCTCCTCTTACTATGTCATTAACTCTGTGTCACAGTGAGTTCAGCCGATAAATTATGCATAATGTAGAATAAATCAGATCTTAACATATTATGAATGCAATAATTCTAATGCAGGTTTCTCTCTTTTTATCCTTTGCTTTCTCACACAGGTTTAAAGTGTAAGTATAATCACTGACATTTTGGAAATCATCCTATGTAATACAAATGGAGAAACCCAGACTTTAGTCATTAAGTAGTCAGCCTGCCCCCAATTCTGTATTCTTTGTTTTGTCTTATATTCCCAACAGTGGGACATAACTGCAGGGAATGAGAAAATGATTTTGCTCTGACGGTTTCCACTCTGAGGTGTTAAAGGAAGGCATTCGTGATAAGTGTACAGGACTTGTATGCGCAGCAGACCACCTCTTATGTGAGAATCACAATCATCCCTAGACATCAAAGGGACATAAAAAAACCTGTCAAACCTTTTCCCCAAATGTGCACCCCTACATCGTCCCAGTAGGCCCAATGAATTAATTAATAAAAATGTTTCAAGTAATATAAAAAATTGTTCCATTTAGACAGCTTCCCATAGAAATCACATTTTTATAAATATTCTGCCTTCTTCTGACTACCATTTAGTCAAGATAGAAAATATTTCTATGGAATTCTGCCCCTATTCAATGGGGAAATATTTAAAATAAATATTGTATCTGTTAGTATGTTCAAATATTTGCCCCCCAAAAAATTATCCCTCTGATAATTGAGTCTTATTATTCAAATTAGCCTATTGATAAGCCTATTAGTTCTAAACTGAGTTTCATAAAGCCTCCTTACTTTACTAAAGACGCCAAGCTGAATGCACCAAGACAGCGCGAATCCAGTCGGCTTTACCTGCTGCCAAACCAGCAGCACCGGTCCCGGCTCCAGTGGCTGCACCGCCGCCGCCTCCGGGGGCGCATCTCTACGAAGAACTTGGGGATAGCACCATGTAAGTAGACCTTTCTGGGACTTTGAGAACGAGGTGTGTTCTCATGGTTGAGTGGTGAGTATATCCTTTAACCTGGCATGAAATGAAGTTCTCAAGCTCTTTTAACGATCTTATCTCCTTCAACAGACAACCCAAAAAAGAATAAAATTAAAACGTTGAAATGGATAGCCATAAATAAATAAATAAGTGAATTAGAAAAAAAAAAGCCGTATTCACATTCAGGAGACACTTGCAGATTAATAGTGGTGGTAATACTAAACTTTGTCACCCTGATTCAGGCTCATGTAACCCATTTTTCCCCCTCAACTTTATAGTTAGTTTTTTTTGGGGGGGGGAAGGTGGGACGAGTTTATTAAAGAAAAGGAGAATAAGGCCCAATAATACAATAACAATTCCTAATTTGGGAAGAAAAAAAAAAGTCTTCTGTTCTGGAAATCAGAAACCATTTCTATGGTTTAAAAACCATAGCATTTCTCAAAGACATTCTTTTAGAATATTGTAGAGTTATTAGAATCAGAATGGGCAGTGGGAGGGAGAGTCCATGTATCAATCACTTAGCACATTTTCTTTTCATTATATTCATTTGGAACAGATCTGCTGTGGTTAATACAATGTTTATATCAATAGTAAAGTCAGCCATTTTGGAAACTCTCTGTAATGATATTCTTCACCCCTCATAATCGGATGCCTTTTGGAGATGTGTAGTGTAGCTTTTTTTTTTCTACAAAGAGAACACACCCAGAGTCACTGCTTCCAGAATGCAGAGCAAATAACCAGGAAATGATCAAATTTGAATCTGATGAGTTTAATTTGAGGAAATGTTTTTATTAACTGTAATTTCATGGGATAGGGGCACTGAAATATTATTGTTTTGTATTACATTTATAGCATTTACTAGTGGAAATAAAGCAAAGCATGTTAGATTATTATTATACAAGAATAGTTTAATTTGGGTTAATTTGATTTCAATGTCTACAGATTTTAAAGCCACTAGATTCATGGCAATATTTAACCAAACTAATAGAATTATACAAAATTCACGCTTCAAATAACTTTTTGTCCCATAACTTTAAAACTCTTTTGAACTATTGGTGAATGTAGGAATTGAGCCAATATATTTGGTTTTCTTTAATCATGTTAACTTCTTTTCTCCAGCTGAAAATGTCCAGAAAAATTTTTAAAAATGTATAAAGTTAAGTGTACTTATATATAAACTAAAACCAATATAGCTTGTTGATAATCTTTAAATATCAGCAAGTCTTCAATATTTTAGTTGAAAAGCTTGTAAATTTGGAATGTTTTAACTTCGACCCATTTAATTATCTTATAACCCTATATAGGGTTCCTAAGTTCCAAGAAAAATAGCTAACTCTAAATGAAAAATGTTCACTTATTTTAAAAGGAAACAAAATTATCTCATATAAGGTAGCTTCCTATAGATTCAACATCATGGGCCTTATATATTTATGTTCTCTCAAGCAAACACATACCTTTTGTATTAGCCAACTCACTGCCATGGGGTCTGTTCTGACTGACTGCACCCAGTAGAGTGTTTCTGACGCTGCAACTCATGACTGGAGCAGCTGGCCTCAGTTTCCTCCCACGGAGCAGCGGGTGGGTTCCAACTGCCAGTATTGAGGTTAACAGAGTAGAATAATTAAGTTTTTAGAATTAGGGCATAGAAGCAATTTTTGAATCTCATTTAAAGTTTCTCTTTAAGGATTAAATAGTGTTAATAGAAGTGCATTTTGTATACATGTAGCAAATAGTTTGCGGATGTGTTTATGAGATAATATAGCAAGCTACCACAAGGTTAGTAGTCCTAACTCACCGACCGTTCAAGGGAGAAAGACGAGGAAACTGCTCCCGGAAAGATATTATCAGGATATGCTCCATAGCATGGCAGTAGGTTTAGATTTGGTTTTGAAAATGTCATTCTTATACGTAAATTCAAAGCAAATGTGAAACATGCATTTTATTTTGGGGGATGTACAGACAAAATGTTTAAAGCAAATTCCTGTTAGCATTTTCATAATCTTCTCAAATTAACTGTAGTTAAAACTTTTTCTTTTCTATCACATGTTTTCTCTTTCTCACCTGTGGATACATAGGCATAAGTAAGTAAATAATATCATTTTAATACAAGACTAGAAAACCAAATGCAATAGAATAGATTAAGTGTTGCTTTACTCTAAATGCAGTGACCTTCATCTTTTACCATTGAGATGTTTATTTTAAATGGCAAGTTACATCATTCCCACCCCATTTCCTTCTGATGTGTTTTAAATGCCATGAGCTGTATTATTTTAAACAAATGTCCCTAGTTGGTCGTATTTGTGCTTACAAAAGCAGTTTCAAAATTTGTTAATTTTTAAAATAGATTATTTTCAACCAAAAGTATGTAGTATCATTATATAGAAAGTTCTTTCCACAAAAGAAAAATAACAGATTAATACATAAGCAATTGTCATGTTCTTGACATTGAGGAAAAAAACCAAAAAGACTTTTAAAGGTCAGGAATTGTAAAAGTATTTGGCATGTGTTCAATCCAAACTGTGGACACTTCCTGAATTCTTCAGATGGTTTTGATAGTTTGAGACCATCTATGAGAATTCTCTCTTGTACCCTATAGTTTCACTAAAAGACACAATAATAACTGGCTTTATATATCTTTTTATTGTTTCACTAATTTCTCCATTCGTTTAATTTCTATTCAAAATATTTTTCTTATATTTCTTTCTGTTGTGTTGTTAATATTATGGAACAATTATAATAATAGATCTAAGAGTGGCCATTCAAAACCAACACAGACCACGCAGCCTTTCCACAGGAAGGCTTCAATGCTTTTATTAGAGGATTGTCATTATTTTTGACTCACAGCCACCTATGACCTTGTGTCCACACATGAGCAAATAATTCTGTGAAAATAAAACTGTGCTATCCTAACAAGTCCTATTTGCATAAAAGTCCAACAATTCCTCTTTTAGTTGGTAGTATTGATTTTTGAAAATATACTAAGCATTTCATTCAAAATAGAAGATAATGATCTTTGTCAAGATTCTTGCTTAAAATCAGTTTTCCCATTGCGATTTTAAACTCTTTGAGAAATTTTCATCTGTCTTTGGGGTGTTTGATTCTCTAAATTTGGAGAACAGAAATCTGTTTCTGTATTCTCTTCCAAACTTTGTCTCACATGGACGAGTACTTTTCCCTCCAGGACAGAATTATTGAGAGGACAGTTAAGGAAAAAGCGTTGAATCAAATCCAGCTAAGAATGCACTTCTGTTTTATAATAGCTGGCATTGAACATCCTCTGCAAAGAATGTGAACTGGGTAAAGAAGATTTTAGCCTCAATTTGGAGAACTGTGACTTATGCATAGTAGAACACTTATGTGTGGACATAAAGTCCTGTATCAAACCAACTGAAACAAATGCCATGCTTTTACAGCTCTCATGCATTTCTTGTCCTGCCTTTTACAAGACGGGGACATGAAAGTACTGTCTTGCTTCAGTAGATTACTATTGTTGGACTTTTGTACTTTGAAGTAGTAATGAGAACCATAGAAACTTCTTTCTCATGAAAGCGATGCCTCAACCTGTCTCCTTACCTTTCACTATCTTCTTTTCTTTCAAGTCTTTTCCTTCTCTACCACTTTCAACAAAGCAGGGAAAATATATCCGTTTCAGAAGACAGGAAACACCAGCAAGTTGCTACCACCTTTTCTTCCTCAACTACTGAGGCTCAAGTAGAAGAATCATTTAAAAATAATCAGCAAGAAAATGCTGCAAGAAAATTCACCTTTCTGTCAGATGAGGACCTTTTAAGTACTCCCAATCCCCTTTATGTGGAAAATGTAGGTCAGCTCTCAACAAGTTCAGACTTTTCAATAAGAGCAGATTTTGTAGATCCATTTTTAACCACAAGCCAAGCCAAACCTGAGCCTCTGAAAAGCTCCAGGAAAAGAATTCAGAGGCCCTGGAACCAGTCCTTCTCCTTACCTAGGAGATCAATGTGGGGAGCAGCCAGCAGACCAGAAGCTGTAGATTTGCAGCAATGGCAGAGCAACGATCAGAATACCGAAAATGACAGCACCCAGAGTTTCTCCAAAAGACGTCACCAAAAACCCTTGGTTACAGCTGGAGATTCACAATTCATAGAGAAAGAAGAAATCAGGACAATTGGCCCACCAATTGGACAAGGAACGGGGCAATTAAAACCTCAATGTTCGGACTCTTCATTCTCCTCTCCCTGGCCTCTCTCTTCCACCTCTACCTTGCCAACTGTTTCAAGAACTATGAACCTCAAATCAGAACCTAGTGTCACCTTCCCTCATGTGGATTGCTCTCTGGGATTTTCTCCTTCAATGCCTTGCATTTTAAATTCTCCACAGTTTAGGAGAGAAACATCCACGATTGAAACCAAAAAGGTTATTTTTGAAAACCTCCCCCATCCACCAAGCATCCCACCACCTCCTCCTCCTCTTCATCCTTCTGTTTCTTGTTCTCCTACTGCTCTTCCTCACCTTCCTCTTCCTCCTTCTCCACCCCTCCCCGCTGCTGTTTTCCCTTCCCCTCGTCTACCTTTACGTCCTTCTCTTCTTCCTCCTCTCCCTTTACCCCCGCCTCCCTTTCCTTCCCCGTCAGTTCCATCCATGGAGCGTGCTTGTCTTCCAGTTGTCAAACACACTGCTAACCTGACGCCCACTGAGCAAGTACAACCCTCTGTGTTACAATTATCGTCATCAGCGGCGTGCAAGGCAGACCCTCAAAGAGAACCGAAAGGCATTCTCAAACATATTAAAAACTTAGCAGAGATTGAAAAGTCAGTGGCTGATATGTACAGTCAAATTAAAAAAAACTGTCCACCCACAGAGCTAACAAATATGGAAACCCCAACTGAACAAAACCCGGAGAATTTGAACAATATGGCTGAGGCACCTGAGAAACAATCTCACCATCAATCTACTTCATTGTAGTGTTACTTTTGCTATCTAATTGGGCAACAACTTTGTCTGTCAGAATCTTTGAGCTGAGGCAGATTTGAGCATCAAAGAAGATTCCATTATTTTGTTCTATTTCAAGGCAATATTTTTTTTTCACTTTTAATTTAAAAGATTATTAACTATCACTACTAACTCATATTAGAGAGTTACCTTAATTGTCTTAACTACCAAGTAGAATTATTTGTCCTACAATTATATAAAAAGTAAGTAATTTCAATCTATTTTTTTAATGGGAATATCTGGGGATGAAAGATAGATATCCAGTTTATATAAATGGTGTATTTGTCATATGGGCAGAAATCAATGCAGCTTGTTACAAGTAAGCTAAAAAGAATTTCATAAGTCTTTTTATTCCTTGATGTCTATATATTTGGTAAGAAAACATACTAGCAAAGTAAACTGTAATGGATATAGAAATAAAGGATATGTCAGACATACAATATTTCTAATAAATCCCAGGTGCTATAGAACGTATTCATTTGTGTTCTTATGAGAACATTCTTTATTCTGGCTGGCTCTTATCTTACTAGAATGCTTATAGATTTGATAAATCCTTTACTGTCTTTTTTCAGTTGTTTCTCATTGTATTTTCCTTTCCTTCTTTTATAATGAAAATAAATCTTGAGTTGTTGACTTTTGTAAGACATTTCATTGTTCCCACAGATGTTTAAATTGCTATTTAATTTTGCTTGTTCACATTATTATATCATCTTCTTAATTATAATTTTATCATAAGGCTCTCTTGAAGAAAACATTTGATTAGCTGTAGTTTAATAAAGACATTCTAATGAGCCTTATGAAAAGGCTAAACAAATATCTATAAAGATTTAGCTAAATTTAGTTATTGCTGAGCTTATTGACTAAATTTTAAATATGTACCCTATAAGTTTATCAATAATATAAAAACTGTTTCACCATTACTTTTTTAGAAAAGCAAAATGGGATGTATTTGGTGAATTGTTACCAGATTTTTATAAGTACCACCCCCCCCCTACTTTAATGCAAGGGAAACAAGTGACCACATGTGAAGACATTTCTGCAATTGTTCTCTTATCTTAAAGAATACGTTGTTAAATTCCAAGGGCATCTGCTAAACTGGTTGAGTCTTCTCAATGAAACCCACATTTTCACTTATTTCCTTTTATAGTGATTCTGTATCTTAAATGTGACCACCAATTATTACATTGCTTTAGCCATGTACCTTTTTTAATATACTTAGTTACTTTTAGGCCCCAGCTGGAATAAAAGGTATGATCATTATTTTAACATTTAAAAAGTATACATTTGAGAAGATATGAGACTTCAAAAGAGAAAAGTATAATTCCAAAATCTAGGCAAAGCCGTGCCCGATACTTACCATTGCAAGTATATTGTACAGATTTGAGGCACTGCATGGTTCTTTTCAAAGGTTCTTGTCAGCTTTTAGGTTGTGTGACATTTCTTCAAGAATTTGGTCCCCATCCCTAAACTAATAAGATCAGATCTGCTTCAGATTCCTTTCTTCCAATTCAGCAGTTATTTCTTTCTTGGGGATCTTGAACATGACTTTTTTCTCTCTTTTACTGAAAAACTTCAGTTGGAGTTTTTGTTGGCAGCTGCTCATATGCATGAGAACTTGTGCTATCTGGCGGACTCTGACCAGGTATTATTCAAAATTGTGCAAGCCTTTACCTTGCGTGTGTGTTTTTTAAGCTAATGTCCATAAACAATTGCTAATGTAAATCTGAGAACTCCTTGATAATTAATTTGCTAAATAGGGACCAAGGAAATAGTAGAAGAAATCCAAATAAGGATTATTTGTGGGTGCACATTAACTGTCCTATTTAATTGTATACTGCCCTTTTCTATGAAGATTTTCTATGACTGTTTGTATAATTTTTTTATATTGCCACAGTGTCCTTTGTAAGTAAAACATTTGCTATATGTTTAATCCAGACTTTTATTGACACTTTGTATTCCGATGTTCTTAGTGGCATAGTTGTTAGCTTTGACTGCATATTTCATGATGTATTTAGTTGTAAGTAATGAAATCAAAAATATAGTTTTCTACTTTAATTATTTCTAAGATACAAATTAAGCATACATTGAAAATATTTAAATCACTACAGACTTTGGAAGGAGGTCAAGAAAATTGGTAGAACTCTGTACGTCTTCAGCAAATTAATTTCAGAACCATTTCAATAATAAATTACTAATAGAATTAATTTGCAGTGTATTTATCTTCATACTCAGCACTTTCAATAAACATACCTTAGACACATAAACATTTTTTGTATAAATAGACTTAAATATCTGGCCAAAGCCTTTAGAGAAAGGCTTGTGAGATTTTAAATATTAATTTTCCATTTCTTCATGCAAAAATAAGAACAAACGACCAACAGCTTCAACTAAATACTTCAAGCCAATATATTCAATATTGAATATATCTTATATTCTCTGTTACCCTGAGTAGTCAAAATTTAGTCAAATATTTAATGAATGGTGGCCCACAAACTTCAGAAACCTTGATACAATATTGAACAACTGACTTATGTCTCTAAAAAAAGGTTTTCACTTTAAGTTTAGTGGTATACTTATAAAGGATAGTCAATATTTTGCATTCATTAACTTTAGAATCAAATTGACATAAACAAAAAATACCATAATTTAAAAAATATTTTGAAAATTACATGGAGTACATGAAGATGATTTTTCATCCTGTACCTATTGATTTCTTCTATGAAATAATTATTTCCCAAAGGAAGCATCTTATTTCTATTAAAAATTCAGACAAAGATTGTATAGAATATGGTTTATCCCATTTCATCATAATAAGGTTAGCATGTATTTTTACAGACCATTTAGATAAAATAGATTATGTATGTTTTGGTATTCATAAAAAACGAGGGTCTGGTGTGATAATAATTTTTTAGTAATGCAGACATGACAGCTTGGTCCTCTCAGCAATACCATAAATCCTCTAAATAATACCGGAAAACATATCTCTCACTGACACAGGTTTGCATAAAATTAGCTTTTTTAGTTTTCCTTCATATTTTTAAAAAATCCTTACCAATCATTTTATTAAGTATAAAGTGCCAAGATGTTTAATACACATTTCTTTATTTCTGCTTTACAGGAGATGTTATGCCTCAGAGGTAAGGGTTCTGTGGTGCTACCATGCATCCCGCTCACTAGGAAACTGGTCAGACTAAAGAACAGGGCTAACATTCTTCTTATCGAAATGGGGACACCTTCCTTTACCTTACAAACCCTCTGAAGTATGTTATTTTCTAACTTTCTATATGTTACATCTTTATGTATGTATTTTATAATTTTAAAGATAATTTCTCCTTACTCTGTAAATTACTATTATTAATACCATGACATTCTTCCTAAGGTGTTTGTTTGTTTGTTTTTTTTGTCTTTCTACCCTATCACTAAAACCAACCTTGCAATCTTAGGGAATTGGTCTTTAAATGACACTTTTTGAAAGTCAGACTACATAAAGTTCGGACTACATATTACTTTGACACTTAAACTTTATAGAAAATTCTGGGCATCATATAGAAAAATCTGGCCAGTAGAATTTGACTAGACATAGGGTAAATGATACTATTAACTTAATCACAGAAATACATATGGTTTAGCACAGATAACCTATTAGCCAGAATGAATAAGTCTATGACAGAATTAGGGATGATTATGGCAAATAATGGATTGCACCAAATTTCTCTAATCTGTCATCCTTTTAAAATAATTATCTTAATATTAACACTGAAAAATCATATCATGAAGCACCCATCCTTCAGTGGAATAATTGTTCTAATGTTTATTTGAGAAAGGTGGTTTTATTGGTGAAAGTATGCTCATTGTGCCCCAAGCATTTCCCAAATGCTTACTTTAAAATTTGTGTTACTCAATAAATCCCCCAAATAGGTGACATGCCAGAATTTGAATTATGTATCTGGTGCTCACCTTGTTGTTTCAAGCAGTCGCTCTGTTTCCAAGAGCATCATGTCTCACACCACGAACCATCACTGCGTTTCCTTAAAATGAGTCCTGTGAGAAGAAGGGCGGGTCACAATGCTTGCAGCTTGAAGACTTTCTGAAAGCTTGCTTGCAGTGAACCATGCTTGGTAAGAAAAATAAAAAATTACGGAGCATTTCTTAAATGTTATGGTGAATACATGACCTCTGTACCATTGTGTAGTTCTCTGGTTTCACTCTTCTTCCCAATAATTCTGATTATAATGTGATTGGAGAGAGAGAGAGAGAAAAGAATGTCAATGAAACATAAAATTGAGCTTATTTTGTTAGCATTAATGACTCATTTAACTATAAAGCTTAAAACAAACTAAGATCTTACTAAGGCAATGAAATTTGATGTGAACAAGTCAAGAAATTCATACAAATACAGTATTTCTTATTCAATAACTCACCATGTGATTTTTGGTGGCTATCATATTTCCAAGGTCACCTGCTTGAAACTGTAAAATTGTTTTCTCTCTCCTCAATCATATCCTAGTTTTGTGTCTAAATTACTTCCTACGCCTTATTCTGTGTTAATTTTCCTTGACAGCACCAACAGCTGCTGAGGGCTTCTCTCCTTAAACCAGAGGTATCGCGCTTCTTTGTTTTCAACTTCACTGTCTTCACCAGCCTTTGTGTGGCTTTAGTTAGGATCAATGGTCCGTGTAGGCAGGATGGATGGCAGACAATGTGGCATAAGGGACAGAAAAGGCGTTTAAATTGAAACCAAGAAATAAGTAAGATTCCCACTGCTTGTTAGTGCCTCAACTTCTGATGTTGCCACTGCATTCACCGGTCAGCCCACCACTGGCCCTTGCTCCCTTTAAAACCAAGTGATCAGTGCATGAACGTGACTTATAAGCTTATCAGTCATTTACTTAGTGAACCTGGATTTCTCTGAACCATTCTTAAAACCTGATTTAAATAAGGCCAACTCTGAAAAAAGAATGCTGACAGCTGAAGTAAAAAAACAACTGGAAATTGGGTTATGTAACAAGAGATTTCTCCATTTCATGTGTTTGGGAATACCGTCTATGGCGATAATAGCTGTGGTTCGTTTAGGCAGTGTAAAAACATATTGAGGATTAAATAGGAAATATAGTAAGGAAGTATCTTCGGAGAAAAGCCTAGTGGTCTTCTTCCCGTTTGCCTCCGCAAACCCGTCGTTGAAAACCGGATGGAATGCACGTAGTTCTAGTCTCAGACTTCTCAGTCACTAGGATTGTTTCTTTGAGTATGTATGCCACTTTTAGTAGGTAAACGGAACCAGTATTAACATCAAAATTGGATGTCACTAATTTGGTCTTAGAGTATTTGTAACAACTCAATTGATTATAAGTTCCAGGGTTGTAACATAAATAAATGGGTTTACAAGGGCATACCCAGAAAAAAATGAATTTCTTTTCTCAAGGCTATGTATTTCATTTTTTTAAAACAAAACAACCTTATCACCTTCAAAGTACTGTCCATTACATACATTTGTCAAATCTGATATTCCATTTTTGGAGACATTTTTAAAAATCATCCATTTGGATGGCTGGTAGCACCTCCCTCATTTTTTTCTTCACCTCTTCAGTTACTGTCCCTCTTTATTGTGGAAACAAAAAGAAGTCTCACTGTGTAAAGTCAGGTGAGTAAGGTGTCTGGGGCAAGAGAGGCACACTGGATTTTTTGCCCCAACCTGGTGCCCTGAGATGGCTGCGTGAGCAGGTGCATAATTGTGGTGGCCAAACCAGTCCCCTGTCTGACACAAATCAGGCCTTTTTGGTCACACACTCTTATCCAATCTTTTCAGAACCTCTAAGTAGCAAGCTTGATTAAGAGCCTGACCTGGTGGCACAAACTCCAAATGCATGATCTCTCTCACATCAAAAACACAAATGAGCATCAGGGGTTTTTGGTTACTCCTCATATATGTAAAACAGGATAGTTTGTGATATTTTGGTGACTAGAGGAATCATTCTTACTGTCAAAAAACAAAAACTCAGATTTCCTGATTAAAATTGTGGGCATTACTTCAAATTTTAAGAAAGATGTTGGCCAATCATAGTAAAACTGAAGGTCACTGCTTCATTTTATCATTTAAGCTATGGATTTCCATATCATTAGATGATATGCTGTGCCTTAAGACAATAGTATTTTTCTGACTGCTTTCCTGGATCAACAAAATGATTCATAGAAAAATATATGATGTTGGCAATGAGTAGTAATTGGCAACCATTTGGCTCTGGGTACACATATTTTGCACATGCAGTCAGAAGAAAACAGTCCCAGTCAAAGGACATCATTCTTGATAGAAGGTCTGCAAAAAAGAGCATCCTGCTGCTTCCAGAGTTATATTGACACAGTGGCTACAAGGGGCTTGAACAGAACAACTAGTATAAAGACAGTGTGCAACTGGTCAGTATTCCGTTCTGTTGCGCATAGTAGCTCTGTGTGTTGGAACCAATTCCATAGTACCGAACAACGACAACACAATCCTGTCTTTCTCCCTTAAAAATCCATTTGAGTAACCTTTGCCATCCAAACTGCTTAGCACATTGACTTCAAATGGGGAAAGTAAAGACATTTAATAATTATTGAAAACAGATTATGTGTACGTATCTCAGGAAACACATTTTTAAATAAAATTAGTTTATATTGCCTAGACTAGAATTTGGTACTAAGATCATCCCTAACAGACTCTTTGTTCTAACAAAGTCCTTAAAACAAAATGACAAAAATAAAACCTTTTAATCTAGAATTAGCATCTAAAGATGTGGTTTTAAATCCATTTATAAAGATACATTTTCATGAAAAGGAAGAATTCTTCTCATGGCTCAGGTCTGTTCATAATATAAATTAAACTAGAATTAAACAGTAACTAACTACTGTTTATTGTAAAAGCTGTGCCATTAACAAGCGAGAATGCTTACCTGCCAGCAGCACCACGTTCCTAAGAGACCCCTAGGGAAACTGAAGGTGAAATTCTTCCCATCGTCCTCAGTGGTAATAGCAGGACCGTATTTTATCATTGCAGCCAGCAGAGAAATCAAATAAGTTTAATATTTGTAATTAAAGTCATTTTAGCAGGATGTTTTGTGACTCATCAAATTCTAGGTGTCAAGATCTGATTTTGTAATAAGAATTTGATTCCAAATGCAATTTCTCTTTTGGACAATAGGAGTTATTATCCATGGAGTCTGGAATTGATCCTGGCCAGGAATATGGACAAGATTATTACAGTTATGAGCATGGGTACATCTTCATATTTTTAATCCAGTATCTTAATTACATTTCATGTGTCTATGTGTCTAAGTGGGAGTAATAAATAAACATTAAAACTAACATTTCATCCATTTCATCTCTGAAAATGTATATACCTTTATCACAATATTTTGTACTGATATTCTCTATGAAAATTGAGATTCTATTCATGTGGGTAAAAATATTTAAAGTGGTTTCATTGAGAAACAGAAGCCAAACATATTTGCTCAATTCCTGCATTCACCACTTCTATTTTTGCGAGATGTAAAATGTTTCATCTAATTGGTCAGCTTCACATTTTGCCAACAGCAACCACACAAGACAGAAAATAATTTTCTTGCCACTGGCAATTATTTTAAGAGTCATTTCTTTATGCAAATGTTAATAGAGTTTTAGCATAAATAGAAAGTGTATTAAGAACAATAAGTCTTTCTCCTTGTTCTGGCCTCTCAAGACTTATATTTGAAATAACTCGACTCTCTTTATTGTTATTCCAGGGTACCATTATGACAAAAAGCCTTGGTCAACAGGTAGTGGCTGTTCTCCTATAGTTTCAGAACTATTCAACAAGAAGCCTGACATGTAGTAGGTCATGTGCAAATACTTGTTGATTGATGGTGAAAATAAAGAAGAAAACAGATCATTCATGGTAGATTCTACACAAAACATATGAAAAAGATATTGAAAATTGTAAGTTTTTCTTACAGGTATGAGATGCCTCAATATGGAAGTCGCCGACGTTTATTACCACCAGCTGGACAAGAGGAATACGGGGAGGTGGTTGGTGAAGCTGAGGAAGAATATGAAGAGGAGGAGGTAATTATTGCAATTTCTTAATATAAGAAAACAGCACAAAATAAATATATTTCACTCTTCTGACTCACAGGCTGTAAAATGTTTTCATGTTCAGAAACCTTATTCACTTGTTTTTTCATGGAAGTTTAATAACATTAGTCAATATATTGTCTTGTCTATGGAGGAAAGTTAATTTTTATATGTTTATTTTTATTCTCTAGATTTTAAACACCTTGAAAATTCAGGGAAGTGTTTATTTTATATATATTTAAATGTCTATATAAATTCTAAATGTTACATTTTAAAGCTAAAATTGTAGTTAATGATATAAAAACAAATTCTGCAGCCCAGTGATTGCTTTTGTATTGTCTCCATCTTTCAGCTATCAAGGGGGGAAAAAATCTCCTTCAATATATTTGAAGAACATATAATTGATATTATGTTTACCATAATCTATTTATTATAAAGTTAACATATTTTGCTAAAAACATAAAATGCCACTCCTTGTTGCTTCAACCTTTTAAAAATGAGCAAAATTTTCACCTAGCTATTTATATAAACTACCATAATTTCCTTAATTATTTAAAATCATTGGAATTTAGCTGAAGGAAAGACATATATTAACCAAAGTGAGAGAAGAGAGTGGCAGCAGTTAATGATCTTTATTCACTTCTTGATTTTAGATTATATACATAAATGGAATTTAAAAAGGAAGAATTTGACTTTGGTGTTATGAAATATAATCCAAAATAAAATATTTTGCTTTTTCTTGATGACCTTCTGTCTGCAAATAACAGGGCTAGACATTGTAGAATTCTGTGATTATTATCCGAGATCAGTGACGTAGAGCTGTGATAAAGCAATCAACTTGCAGATAACGTTTCTGCTTCACTTATGTGGGACCAGGTCACTTCATAACCAGCCTCAGGCTGACCTTCCAATTGCATTTTCATAATTTTCAGGAAAAGCCGAAGAAAATTAAAAAACCAAAAGTTGAAGTGATAGAACCTAGTGAGGAGGAGGAAGTAGTGGTAACCATTGAAAAGCCACCAGCCGCCGAGCCTTCCTACACCACGTGGAAGCGGGCCCGGGTCTTCCCGATGATCTTTCAGAAAGTCAGGGGTCTAGCGGACAAGAGAGGCGTCGTGGACCTGGAGGAAGCCGATAAAGATTATTTGAAACTGACGCTGGACCAAGACGCAGCCACGGAAAGCACGGTGGAATCCGAGAGCACGGAAGAATCCTCCGATTACACGGAGTACACCGAGACCGAGTCCGAGTTCAGTGAATCCGAGACCACGGAGGAGTCGTCGGAGTCCGGGACCCCCTCGGAGGCGGAGGAGAGCTCCACTCCCGAATCCGAAGAGTCGGAATCCACAGAGTCAGAAGGAGAAAAGGCCAGAAAGAACATCGTGCTGGCCAGAAGAAGGCCCGTTGTGGAGGAAGTGCAAGAAGTCAAAGGTCGAAAGGAGAAGGCGCCTGAAGAACAAGAGGAAGCTGGGGTCGAAGGGGGACACCCAGAAGAAGGAGAGGACAGAGAACTGGCCCCCAGGGAAGGATCCCTGGACCTGGAAGCTGCAGAGGCCCCTGAGGAGGGCAGTGTGGGATCTGTTTCTGCGGGAGGAGGCGCAGAAAGTGAGAGCAGATCAGAGTCGAGCAGCAGCAGTGGCAGCAGTAGCAGTGAGAGTCAGTCTGGAGGTCCCTGGGGCATCCAGGTGCCAGAATACAGCACAAGCAAGCCTGCCAGCCAAAGGAGGCCCCCAGGGGCAAATGCTGAAGGTTACAACACAGCCCTTTGAGGGGGATCACAGTAGGTGGGGATTTTGCAGTGATGAGTGTTCTGTGCAGTGCCTTGCTGTGTGCCCTTTGAAATGATACTTTAAGGGGAGACTATTGATCGTAATTTTAATCTGGCTTAAAATCAGAAGCATGCCAGAAAAGTGAATATATATGCTATCCAAAAGATTTGTATATTCGAAAATTAGGATACAACTGACTGCCACCTATGCACTCAATGTGTCTATCTTGAATGCTTACCAGTGGGATTTCCGTTGAGACACAATTGTGGATTTCCGTGATGCTTTGCCTATTGAAACAGATGATATAAATATATATGATATTTTCTATATCATCTTTATAAAATAATTATTTAGGACAAACTACAATAAATGAGATCACTAAGTGTCTACTTTTGCATATATGTACATTTCAACTGGCAAATAAATGCATTTTTAAAATATCACAACTTAGATCTGAAAGTGTTAGACATAAGTCTTTCTCAAGAAGATTTATATCTGACACTCTCACATGTTAGGATTTAAATACAATCTGTTTTAAAAATAACATTTATTTTCTGTTCTTAATGTGAGTTAAAGTAGATGAAAGATAAAATTCAATTGGAATATTTATATATCATCAGCGGTAACTAAATGCAATAAATTTTACATTTAGCCTTAGAATTCAGATCAGAAAATATAACTTTTTTCCTACTACAAAATATGACAGTTCACATATCCCCCCAAATCAGCTCTATTTTGAGTATTTGTCTAACTTTTGTTCCTTGCAAATTTTTGTAATGACTTTAAACCAAACAAGCACACAATGGTAAAAATATCCATTGTGTCTCAGTTGCCTACAAAAGGAAAATTAAGGAAACAGAATTTTAAGTTACTCTATAACTCAATGGGGTTACTCTGAAGCTTGAATAACTACATCAAATTATACAAAAAGTTTGGCTGTTAAGGGAGAATTAGGAAATAAACTCAAGTGATTTATAAATATCTCTAATATATTGGGAACAGAAGCATTATATGAACAGAATATATTAATGCTGTGCATTCCTTTCAATGTAACTTTCCTAAATAGTACAGCAGCTGTCAAACAATGGATCAGATCCCTCATGAAACATAAATATATACAATTCCTTCCTGGAATATCTACTTCCTAACTCAGCAGCAATCCCTCCCCCACCCCCTACTCCAACACAAGTTATTATCTTTAAAGGCACCAGAGAATTAGAACAGAAACTGATGTTGTTCAAGTGTTGCAGCCCTCTTACGCTCTTGAGATTTTACTGCTGTCTTCTGATTGGTCTTTGAATGATGTTTTGGATTTCAGATGCCTGGTAGTCTTTGCCCTTTGACTCCTCTGGTGATGACATCGATCTTTGTGTTCTTTCTCTTTTATGGTGACAGTGGGCAAGAAGAAGAATGATCAAGCTGGTTGTTGATCGAAAATACGAAACCAGCTCAACTGGCGAAGACAGTGCTCCCGAGTGCCAGAGAAACCGGCTTCACAATCCGAACAGTCACAGTAAGATCAATGGCAATATATACATCGCACAGAACGGTTCTGTAGTGAGAACCCGCCGTGCCTGCCTTGCTGAGCATTTAAAAGTCACTTCCCCTGTTCGACTGGGGAGGCACTTTAAGAACCTAGACAAGTTGGCAGTGACACAGGAGGAAAACATCCCCCTGAACACATTATCCAAGGGGCCCTTTTCTACTGAGAAACTGAACACGAGGCCATCTCTGGTTACATTTGCTCCGTGCCCGGCTGGTGCTGACAGCACAGCAGCAAAGCCCTTGGGGAACAGACTGCGAAGCGCCGGGGAACAGGAGTCCATGCTTGACAATAGGAGCCTCCAGGACTGTTTGAAATTCCACGGCGACCACTTGCAGTCAGATGACGAGGAGCTTTGGATGGGCCCCTGGAACAACCTCCATATACCAATGACAAAACTGTGACCAGTTTCGAGAAGTTATTTTAATTTTTACCTAAGTTTGTAATAAACTGTGCTTTTTATTGTCACTGAGGAAACAATGAATGGAATTTATATCATGCACACAAACTAAAACTTTGAACAATATGCTTTAAAAAGTTTAAAAAGGGACAGATTTGCACTCACCGTTATGTCAATTAATTTTTCTTCTCAAAGAAAAAATTTCAGATAGCTCTTCAATTCACTAAGTAGCATATCGTTTAAATACTTAACAGCTTTGTTGAATCTTGAGGGATTTTGTTTTTATGTTTTTTATTTTAATAAACAAAAAGTAATGTACTAAATCATCATTTATATATTTTTGATTTACTGCATTTTTAGTTCCACAGCATTTATTTTTCAGTACATGTAATTTTACATTCCATGGGAAAAATGGAAATTTATAGTGGAAGATTTTTACAGGTAACAGGTGTATGCAATTGCTACATATACCATCCTGATATTTTAAATGAAATGAAAAGTTTATGGTTGCATTGGTAAATATGGAAAACTTCCATAAATTATCTTGAATCATGGACCTATTTTCCTAATTGTCCAATATAAAGGGTTTTTTAAGATTTTTTTATATATGTGTATTTTGACTTTTGAAGGGACACTTGAAGTCATATTTCCTTTATCCATTTCATCTATACTTTTCTTTGGTGCCCTGCTTCTGACCCGCACTCTTTTGTTGCTGATGCTTTAATTTAATCACAGAAAGTTGAAGCATTGCTGAGAGCCACAAAAATCCCCCTTTCAGCAAAATGGGAAGGGCCAGATAGGCACTAATGCATCTACAACTATAGTAGCCATGTAGAGGACATAGAAAGGTCAGAGCAATCTCATTAATGTCTCGGGGCATGGATATTTTGTAAACCTCCAGAAAGGAATTGGTGAAGTCAGAATGTTATGTACTATGTAAACTGCCTTAAAAGGCCATAATTTTATCATTTCAAATGTATTTAACCTCTCTCAACTCCAGTTTATTTATAGAATATTTCAATGTACATAACACAAATATTATTGCCTGGGCATTTTAAAATCAAAGGATACAGTCTTGATTTTCATTAAGCAAAGCACAGTGTTTCACCATTAATAGAAACTAAAACAAAATATCCTTTAAAACAACAACATTTTACCTTTGTGTGCTATGGAGTCACCAGACATAAAAAGGATCAATCGAGTTTAAAAAGAACTCACGACACTAGTGAATATGTTACATAGAATGATATTGGTCAATGCTGTGCAGAATGTGAGATGAGTCATGGCATTTTCAGATTTTAATAAAATTCTCTTCTGCATGCATACAATATGGTTGAAAGATTGCATAAGGCACTACCATTTGTCCTCTCCCATTTCACCTTTTAAAAATATTTTGTTACAGTGCTATTTTCTTATTTTCAAGTGAATGAAATTATAAGTAACAGAAACTTCCTACTCTGTGAGTAGCTACTTTTATACATTTTTATTTCATATTTCAAAACCTATCAGATTAAATACAGGAATATTTCATTTATCTGGCATTACTAATTTTTTCTGTACCCTTGATAGAAAAATTATCAGC